TTTTTAAATGTGTTATTGTTAACAGATACAAACTTGTGAAGCATGCAGTTGCAATGCAAAGTTTGAATTTTTTGAAAATTTAAGAGTGCAATTTTTTACTAATATGGCAATTTGAAAATTTTTTGTTGTAGGAGTTTATCAGTCAATGTGGCATGAACTAAATTGTTCAATAAATAGAGTAATGTCTCAGTTGTTATCTCAAAAATTTGCCTGTCTGATCAGTTCTTTTAAATCAAATGTGGTGCAGTTCAATTTATATTACAATGAATCATTCATACAAAAAGTAGATTAGTAAAGTTAATGACATAAAATGGCGAAATCCCTTCACAAAAAAGGTGCATTAACCTACAAATCACTTGATGAATGTTATGATCCTGTTTTTAAAAATTATAAGCTGTATAAGGTCTTTCTTTAATACACAAGTACTTTCAACTGTACATTCAGTCATCTTCAGGCATGGAAATTATTTTGTTTCGATTTATTTTGCTTAAATGAAGTTATACTGCCTATATATATATATATATATATATATATATATATATATATATTCAAATAAAAGAAAGAACAGTAAGATATATACTGTGTAGTGAAAAAACATATTTTAAATCAGTTAATTTATAGGCAGTATAACTTCATTCAAATATATTTTATTAAGTAATATAGACATATTATGTGTATTTATTTTTATAATAATCCTTTCTAGTTCTCTAATTATCTTCTGGATGTTAAGTTAAAATTAATGTTAAAATAATTATAGCAGAGCATGTTCATGAGTGTTTGCAAAATCTCTATCACAGGGATTACAGTTACATTAAGTTTGTCTTCACAATTCGCCCTTGAGGATGACCTTTCAGGAGTTCAAATGTACTCAGGATAACAAAAAATATGGCTGCTTCCTTGATGAATTTCAATTTGTCAAGAAGATAATTAGAGAACTAGAAATGATTATTATAAAAATAGACATAATATGTCTATATTATTTAAAGAAACCTGCTTGAATGAAAATATATCTGGGACATGCTGTCTAAGTAGGCAAGGTAGGCAATGCCTACTCTGAATAAAATAGATCAGCAGCTACATTTTCCTTCTGTGGCACAATATGCATAAAATCTAAACATTTTTTTTTTTTTTTTTGTAGAAATACTACATAAAGGTATCAAGCTGTCTACTTTGAGCAATTACTGATGGCATGTGCCTGATTGAGAAAATATATATATATATATATATATATATATATATATATATATATATATATACATATATATATATATATAATGTGCAGATATGTAGAAAAATAGGAAAGAACACATTAGGTAAATAATCCGGAGTTCTTTAGTATTTTTATTTTTAAAAAACAGTGCTCCATTAAGGAGACGAGCTTAAAATTTTCGCTTGAGGATGAAACAGGCCTTGATACTTTAACTCAATTCAATTTTAATAATTATATTGAGGTTTTTGGCTCTTGTTTTTGAAACAGAACATTTATGTAGCAAAGGAATCATATTTTTTAAAAATAATATATATATATATATATATATATATATATATATATATATATATGTATGAATGTAATGAGAATGAAAATAATAGAAATTCTAATGTTCACAGCATTAATTCAAAAGAGGGCTCAATACCAAGAGTAGAGCAATAATTATTTAAGCATTTTTGGTTCTCACCAGTCAAGATGCAGCTGCATCAAACCAATATGCATCTTTGTAGTGAGCAAATTGTTTTGTCCGTATGTAAAAAATTATATATATATATATATATATGCATTCTAAAGAAGACATGTATTTTTATTTTAATAATCTGACAGATTGTTATTACTTTAAATGATATTACTTTCTTTACATTTGGAGACAAAACTGAGCAGGTGATAATTTTGTGGGATCTATGACAAGAAGGAATTTCACTGTTTGAACCTTGCTTGATTGACAAAGCTTCTTTGTGGCCAAGTCAATTAAGGAATGTCGGATGTAATGAGTTTTCCTTTGTCCAGAGGAACACAGGTTCAAATCTTGACGGAGTCCATATAGTTTTTATAAGTTTTTCCAAATATTTAGGCTGGTAGATAAAAAGTAAATATACTGTTTAAATATTTTTAGTAGATACTGATATTTGAGTAGACACTATTTATTAAAGTGATAACAATCTGTTAGATTATTAAATAAATATTAATATAAAGAATTTATACATATGAGGTCTGATAAAAAAAAAAATTGGGATTGTTGCTATGGTAATGGAGCTAAAGTATACAGAGTGAAGCTGCTTGGCACAGATTGACCTTGAACTCTGTCATGCATACACACTAAGTTATGTTTTTGCTCATTTCTGTTGTTTATATCTGTGCTTGGAAGGAAAGTGTGTAGAATGTGGTTGTCGCAATACATCACAGAGGTTTCATCAGCGACCATGACTTGTTCAGCAGTTTTTGGCCAAACACACCATTCCCCAGGTCCAACAACCACAATATCCTTCAGATCTTGCACCTTATGACATTTTCCTCTACAAAAATCAAATCCCACTTGATAGGAACAAGATTTTAAGACATTGATGAAATCCAAGAGAATGTGATGAGGCTGCTGCTCGCTATACCAAAAAAGGAGTTTCAGGAATGCTTCTCTCAAAATTAAAATATGCGGATGCAGAAAGGGACTATTTTGAAAGATTTTTTTTTTAATTGATTTAACCCCAAGGAAGGCAATAAAGCCACTAAGATACAAGGGGTTATTGGGTGTGAAGGAATTAGGAACAGAAACATTACTAATGAGCCTGTCCTTGGTATGATGATAAACTACATCCGCATCCTGGGTAGGATGATAAACTACGTCCAACAGCAAGGACTCTGATCAGGAGGTTTTGAGGAGCATGGAACCACCTCTTAATTGCTGATATTCCTAGGTTCACTCTGACCCAGGGTTGTAGCACCTGTTAGGGTCCCAGCTATGGGCAAATAGTTACCAGATACTCCCCCCCCCGAAACTCAGATCAAAACTCTATGAAAGTGTAAAAATGGGTTTTAATACCAGAAATACTTTGTATAAAAAAATTACCAGCAATATATTTTTGAAAAAAAAAAAAAAAAAATTACCAGAAATAGATTTTTTGAAATAAAATATTACCAACAATGGAAATTTTGTCGGCATTAAATGACCCATTGAGGTTGATATGCCGTAAAACAAAACAAACCAAACTAATGAGCAGGAAGAGAAAAAAGTAATCAGGACAGCAGGTCACAATTCTTTTTATAACACTAGTCACGATACTTTTTTATCAAATGTCATATTTTAAAATTTCAATGAGATTATTTCTAAATAGAGAAATGACAGCTGTTATTTTAAAAAATTCAGATTTTTATTTTATTTTTGAAGGTGCTTTATTTTTATGTTTTTTCTTTATAAACTTTTAGATTAAACCATGAATACTTGAAAGTCCTATAAAAAATATCTTATTCACATAGTTATCTCATTAAATAAACTGTTATAAAAATTCTAGGAAAGTTAAATTTACTTGTCATTGTTTAAAATAAATATAATACATTAATATTATTTGAAAAAAATGTAAATGGATTATTACAATCATTAATTTTCTTTTTGTAAACCCCAACAAAACTTAAGTTTACCACTATGATGGGGTAATGGGTAGTGGCTCAGATTGAGGAATTGGAGAGCTGAGTTCAATTTCCAGTAGAGCTTGTTACACTTACAGGCAAATATCCTTGAGAAAGGTATGAATCCATCTCTTCTTCCCCAGCAGCTATGGATAAATTGCAGAACAGACTGGGTTCTATAGCTTTGGGTGGCAACTGATCTAGAAGAACAACACTGAATTCAAAACCATATGTTACCCTGGTAAAACACATACTATGTAGCTAAAGAATGGCTTGAGTATTTCTCATTGACTTTATCATCCTGACTACAGTTTACCATCATTACTCATGTATGGAAAATCTGACAGTGGAAAAAGATTTTTGTGTAATGCATTTTGTCCTTTGAACTAAATCCTGTTGATTTGATTACACATAAGCATGAAGGAGAGGGGGATGCTGAAATTTGAAATTTACAACTTTTTTTTATATACAGGTGTTTGGGTATATAGTCTTGCAGATTTAATTTATTTATCCAGTATTTTGAATTAGCTGAACATTTTTTTTTTTCAATCCCTTTCTTGTGTGGAAGTGTGGTGGTGTAATGGTTAATGGCTTGGAATGAGAAATCCAAGAGCCAAGTTCACATTCTAGTAGAACTTGTTACATTCTTTTCCATGTAAATACACCAAATGAATCATCTCTTCTCCCTCCAGCTATGGGTTAAATAACAGAACAGACTGGGCCTTATAGCCTTGGTTGGCGACCAGTCTTTGACAGACAACTCTGAATTCAAAATGTCCAACTATGACTAAATAGTAGAGTAGACTCTGCTTTTCAGCCTTGGGTGACAACCAGTCAAAAAAAACCCCCAAAAACTGTATGTAGCCCTGGTGAAGCACATACTATGCAGCTAATGGAACTTTTGTGTAGTTTACAATGACTCTATGATCCTCTGTGTGTGTGTTTGTAAGCAGTCATCATGAAAAAAACTGTTATGTAATATCAATCTGGTACAGTTTCCTCCAAGATGAAGAGGAAACTCAAGGCAACAGAAGGATGCAGAGAATACTGTATAATATAAGAGCAATATGTAAGTATTATAAATAGAATAAGAGCAATATGTAAGTATTATAAATAGAATCAAATGAGACAGTTGAAATTTCTAGGACACACAATGAAGAAAGAAGGCTTGAAAAATTTGATACTCATAGGACATATTGAAGTCAATTTCCTGTTTTAATGTCAGCATACTTGCCAATATGGTTGCAACCCAATTATGCACAAGGCAACTACAAGGTTACCTTCTCAGTCAACTTTCAAAGGCACCTAGCTCTTTTGATGTTCTCAGGTGATACCAAGTATAAAGTTTAATTTAATTATTTTTCAGTTTAAAATTCCTAGTTAATGCCAGTTGAAGCACCAGTTCCCATATTATCACCAAAGTTAAGCAACACTGAGCCTGGTCAGTATCTAGATGGGTGACAATTTGGGAATACCAAATGCTGTAAGCTTGGATGTGTAGGTGGTGAAATAAATAATGCCTTGGAATTGTTAATTAGAGAGTCAAGTTCCAAATCCTTTAGAGTTTGTTATATTCCCCTACATGCAAATACCCTTGGGAAAGGTATGAATTCACTTCTTCTCTCCCACAGCTATGGGTTAATTAGTAAGATTTGAACTGCTAAATCATTATCTCCATCCCCACCCCAAAATTTTTACAATCTAAAAATATTTTCTGGTTTTATTGGTCTCACTCTTTCGAGGAATATTGCTGTAGTTGTTTAGAGGGCTCTCTGGGGAAACTATATTCTCTGAGTAAACCCAGATCCATGTTTAATCCTATAATATGTGATTCTATTTTGAAAATGTATTTTAAGCCCAAAAGAGTAAGACACAAAAATCCTGACTTTAAAATCTTTTTCTTTGTGCTTCAATTTAGTCAAAAGCCTATTAATATATATCATATATATAATAAATTATATATATATATATCTTAAATATCATCATTATTATTGCCAAAATTGTTATCATTTTGTTGTCTTTTTATTCCTCAAATTTCATTAACAGGTTTATTAAATCTATATGTATATAAGAAGCATATGGAACATCTTTTGTTTTAATATATATATATATATATATATATATATAAGTTGTTACATACAAACAAGCACTCAAAACAAAGATGCATTTTTGTTTTGTCTGTATATAACATCTTTATAATAAATAAAAATTGCTCTACTTTTGGTATTGAACCCTCATGTAAATTAATTCTATGAATGTTTGAATTTATATTCTTTTTGTTTTCATTACATTTGGAGATATATATATATATATGTGTGTGCGCAAATATATAGAAAAATAGGAAAGAACACATTAGGTAAATAATGTGGAGTTCTTTAGTATTTTTGTTTTTATTTTTAAAAAACAGTGCTCCATATAAAAGTAGAGCTTACATTATAATTATTTTTAAAAAAAATATGATTCCTTCATTCCTAAATTTTTGCTTGAGGATGAAACAGAGCTTGATACTTCAATTTACTTTTAACAATTATGTTGAAGTTTTTGACTCTTGTTTTTGAAACATAACAACTCTTATGTAATGAAGGTATCATTTTTTTTAAAAAATAATTATAATATAATTATTATATATATATATATTGTGTTGGCCATGTTAGTTATGGCAGTGGTTATGTTTGTGGGGTGGTGGTAGTTTGTCTAAAGATTACAAAAGCATGAAACTTAAGGTTACAAATAACTCTCCATGTATGTATGTACGTATATATATATATATATATATATATATATATATATATATATATAGTCATCCACAGACATACTGTTTCACTGTGTCCCAGCTCTTCAGTGTGGCTAGATGCTCGACTGCTTCAAGCCAGGATCGAAACCCAACTGATTTGACTTCAGTCAGATATCTTATCCCTAGGTCACAGCAGAAAGGAAGAGAATTTTAATATTTTTTCTGGTAGCGGCTCAGAACTCATATATATATATATATATATATATATATATATATTCATACACGTTTCATTAAAGAAAATGAAAAGATGCTGCCTAAATACACACAATATATATATGTGTGTGTGTGTATATATATATATAACTGTATAACTCCTATACTCATATATATAGATATACAACAGGTTAAGAAATTAACCATTTCTTTTGATTTTTTTTTTTTTTTTTTTTTTTTTAATATCTATATTGGCTTGGGATAGGAGAAACTCTTTGAGGAATGGAGATATTTGAAAAAATCCCGGGCACAGATTTATATCAATATGGTTTGATCTCAAAGTGGAAGACGTCGCGTAATTCTTTTCAAGTTTTGAAAAGTTCTCCAATTATGATCAAAGAGTCAAATATATAATTAAGGTTGATTTGAACAGACGTTTATGAAACGTAATCACATTATTCAACATGAGTGCAAATAGAATAATCAATGTCTACACTTGAAAATTATGCCTGTTTCCTTCCGTCTGTCACTATCATTTGCAGCAAAGTCATGGTTTCTTTTTTTTTTTGTTTAGGTTTGTTTTAAATGTTCGTAGCTGGGTTTGTCATTTCCCTTCAACGTTTTCCACAATCAATTCTCAAGTCAATTATTCCTTGCCTTCTTTCTTGAGAGAAAGCAAACAGAAAGAGAAAGTCAATTCTTAGAACATTACAAAATCTGTAACAAAATTGTCAAAAAAAGAAAGTAATAGTGCCAAAGATTTCTGGTTTGACATGAAAGAAAGCTTGGGTTTGTATCAAAGCCTTTAGCACAATAGATCTAAGATTAAAAAAAAAAAATTAAAATCATCTGTTATACAGAAAATGTTAAAAGTAATAAAAATTTTAAGAAATTGAGTCAAAGCTGAAAATATTTCCTTTTGGACCCAAACTTATTTATTTTTCTAAAAACTAAAACTTTTAATCTGTAAAATTTAAAAAGAATTCCATACCAATTTTTTACTTTCTTATTTTCACATTTCTTGTTTTTCAGTTTCCAATCTTTTTTGTGTTTCCATCCCTGTCTTTCCCTTTTGCAGTTCAGTCCTCGTCTTTCTCTTTCATGTTTCAGTTAACCCTTCTATCTCATTTGCATTTCACTTCTCCCACTCTTTATTTCATGTTTCAGTTCCCCGTCTTTTTCTTTTGTATTTCTTGTTCTCTCCTCTTTTTATTTCGTGTTTAAGTTCCCCCTCTTTTTATTTCATTTTTCTGTTTACCACTTTTTCTTTAGCCTTTCACTTAATATTTTTGTCTTAAATTTTCATAACGAAAAATTTTTAAAATTACTTTTCATATCTTTACTCATTAATTCATATTAATTACAATAAGTATTTATTCATAGTTATTAAAAGCATTGATTCCATGATATAAGTAAAAAAAAAATACTATACTAAATTTAATACAACCAACCTCTCTTCTCAGTCAACTAGCATTTTAGAAAAGACCAACATTGTATATTAATTTAAATGTCCTTTGGGAGATTGCATCTCTGATAAAAGTGTCAGTAAGTGTTGTAGCATACCTACAGATGATAATGGGTATGTCCCCATTCACATAAATAAAGTAGTAAATATTGTATGTTTGTTTGCATTTGGAGATTCATCTCCTGCTGTGCTGGTCAAACTCTCTACCTCCGGGCAGAGAGGATCCCCAGACAAGGCTATGTCAATGGGCAGTGTCTCCTCTCTGGAAACAACTACCTACCCCCATTTTATACGGGGTCTACAGGGAATTTTTGGCCAAGCATATGAGCTCAGATACCCCACATTAAATTCAGTCATGTGCCATATCTGACTATGTGGGGCAGTTGTTAGATATCCTGCAGTAGGAGATTCATTGTGGAATTCACTTGACTCCCCTCTAGCAGCTGAATACTTCTATGTGCCACTGGCGGATCTTATATGTGTTGTTCTTGTCCTAAGTATTATCATTCATTACCAACCTTCATTTGATTATTCTATTCAGTAACATTCCCTAGGTTACAACAATAAGTATGTCAGCTTTACATCAACAACAGTGATGAGAAGGCTTACGTTTCACTTGAAAAATTATAGTTCAATAACAGAAAATTTAAAGAAAGATTCCTGCCCATATTCAGTTTAGACTGATATTAGTTGAAATAAATCAGGCTTCATAAAAACTTAAAATAATGGAAACCATTTATGTAAGAGAATGGGGGACAAAAATATACTCAATAACGAGTATGGCAATGAAGTTCTTAAGTGTTTGTAGCAGCAAAATATTCTGAAAAATACTATAATTAAAAAGACTTTTAAAAAAAATTATATAAGCTACCTCCCTTGCATAACAGTGAAAAAATATTTTGAATTTAGGATATTAATGCATAGGAGATTCATAGAGATGCAACACTTGCAGATGGTCGCAGATGACATTGAAAGTACTTGGGAAAATAAAAATTTATTTGAAAGAAAATTTTGGAATTTTTCTTGATCAGTTTTCTACAAATATCAAGAAAATAATTCATGTACTTGAATGGATTAAAACTAAAATAAATAGATATAATACATCTAAATTATTTAACCAAAGATGACTGAATGAATATATGCTGCCTATATATATATATATAATATATATATATATATATATATATATATATATATATATATATATATATATATATATTTCATAAAATACATCTATTGGATGCTTTAGCACACATCATCAGTGATGTTTCTAGCCAAGGTTCATCAGCGGTTTTCGGTCTTTCAACATCATACCCCCTCTGCACAGTGACCCAGCTGACACTGATCAGGTATCGACTTGTGTATCTTCAATCATTTACAATTTTCCATCTTCCAAACAACACATTATGCGACTCTTCTTGGCAATTTATTGTCCAATCCTGGATGACTTCCAGTTCACCAGCAATGAGCACTCTTCCATAAAAAAGGAAGCAAAGACAGACACAATTTCCAACTGATCGGGAATATGGCAGCATTTGAATCCCATCACTTAGACACATACACACACAGAAAGGTTCTCAAGCTTCACATTCTATTACACTTATACCATTTTCATTCATGTCAATCATTTGCGAAAGAATAAGTAAATGAAAAAAATTATTTCCTTTTCCTCCATCCCACTTTTTTCTCCTTGAACCTCCACCTATATCAGTTAAAACCATATACATACACATCAACGCAAACACATCCAAAAACACACACATCTAAAAAAAAATTTAAAAATTACCATAACCCTGGAATGGGGGCAAATAGGTGCTAGATCTTAGCCAGGAATCACCTGTAGGTAACAATAGATCGGGGTACCCTGAATCTGACCCCTAGGTTGAGATTCCATTGTTGGATGTATATACATATATATACACAGACTTGTGTATATATATATATATATATATATACATGTTTTTTTATATATATATATATATATATATATATATATATATATATATATATATATATATATTTATATATGTGTGTGTGTATATATATATATATATACATGTGTGTTTATATATATAT